TAAAATTTTCGCGCAGTTCGAGCGTAGTTTTTTGATTAAAAAAGAACTATTTGCAGTCAATGTAAACGTTATTTTCACGTGATGCTTTCGCAGAAGGGAGAAGCAGCAGTGGAGCAAGAGGATTCTGTGGATAATCTGGCTACATCAACAGTAGCAACAAGTGAAGGGATTGATTTCGACTACACCCCTAGCGGGCAAACTAAGGAAGAAGGTGAGAGTTTAAAAACGTCCAAAGTAGTTCCAAAGCATCAAATTGTTTTTGAATGTGTACTGGGGTGATAATCTGGAGGAATCAGTAGCGCCATCTACTTCTCTTAAAGTTGCGGTTTTGATTGCCTGTGAATATAATCCAATTCTTTTTCATCTTCTACTTTTTCCTGTTTGCAATAGTTTTTGTCATTTCGTGCACGTGAATTGTATTTACATTTGAAAACCGTCATCGATACTTCTAATTTACTCATTTTGTTGAAATCAAATAGAACAAGAGAGGGAGATAGGTTGAGGTGGAGCTTTGTCAGTCTGCGCTAGCAGTGAAATGTCTTAGAGGTTTTGAGCCTTTTGTACATGACCTCTTATACTTTTTATTATGCGTTCTGTGCTGTGCAAAACGCATATTGTCACGAGGTCATCTGTGTGTGCGTGTGTCCTCTGCCCACGTGCGTCTGCAAATTCAAATTCAGCTTTCACATACGCCTGGATCTCAACGTCCTTGTGAATATTTTGATGGGAAGAATTTTTACCCGAGAGCCAGAATCGGTAGTAGGCTGAAGATTTCAAGAGGATGTTTTCTGTAGTGGCCACGCAAATTCAAATTTAATTCTCAATTATGCCGAGGTCTCACTCACGACTACACAAAAGTTTTGGCTCGAAAATCGCTCAAAACCAGAAAATTAGGGGGTTGATTTTGGAAGGATGTTTACTGTATAAGGCTTTGATGGGAAATTCCGTAGCTTAGGAACCGGACAACATTTCAACTATTTTTGCCCAGACCAAACTGCAAAGCAGTGAAAACCCTCGGCAGGCGAATGCTCGCTGGATGGGACTGCGCAAAACGCATGATCGCACCGGTTATCCTTATGCGCACCGCTTTTTATTTACCTGAATTTCTTCATGGGCTTAAAATTTTTTTAATTTTGAAAATAGTTTTGCAGAATGGCCGTTGTTGTGGAGGTTATTAAAGGTGAAAACAGACGTCAAGGAAATGGATATGCCAGTTATGGAAATGATTAGTGCAAAGAAGCTGCAGAAGGTAAAGCAGTTTCGGCTAGTTTTGTTAATAAATTGAAGTAAATGACACAGTGAATTTGAAGTTTCGCAGAAAGTCGAACTTGCATTACTGTGCTTTGAGCCAATGCCACTAAAAAATTTTCAAGATTGGGGTCTGTAAAACTTTGACAAAAGTATGAAAGTTTACTTCTTTGCATTAAAATAGTTTAATTCTTCAATGAAGAAAGTGCCGGAGTGTCTTTCCAAAAAATCCTTTTCGGTTTTTTCCCCTGGTATTTTCGGAATTCAATTCAAGAACTTTTCTATATGCACTGTTAGAGAGTAGAAAAATTTGTAAGTAGCTGGAGGGCTCTTGAGTTTTTAAAAAATATGTTTTGCTAGGCTTATAAAAATCTGTAGCATTTTATTTTTTATGAAAATAGAGGTTTATCATTCTAAAATGTTGTCCAGTGTTTATTGCTTCAAAACGATTATTTCGGTCCTACTCTAGAAATTGAAAGAGTCCCTAAAACTGAATGGAAATTTTGCACTAAAATTGTGTACAGTAACATTTAACAGAAAGAAGTCTATGAAACGTGTAAACTGTACAAATTGGCTTTCTGAATATTTTTGCCAGAAAATTGGCTCGTTTTTATGCGTCTTTGCTGTGCAGCGCCATAGCAGCGTTAAAGCGCTGCTACAGCCAGCAAAAACGCATATTGTCGAGAGGCTGTCTGTGTGTATTCGGAAGCGAGTGCATTTTGTCACCCACTTTTATCTCAGCAACCAGAAAAGCTGGGAGGTTGAAATTTTGTGCATATGTGTCTTGCCCCGTGTTTCACCCTCCCATTTCAAGATCTTCCCCCACACGTGCTTAAACTTCGTGTACGGTCTCCCGAAAAAAATATGCATATTTCTTTGGCAAGAAATGATTTTGCGAACCAAGCAAGGTACACAGCTGAAGCTTTGCTGGAATATTCTCTATGCATGTGCGAGCTGGAGATTTCAGATTCAGCTGTCGCGCACGTTTGTGAAGCACTTACGATCACGTCAAAGTTGCCGAAAACTCGAAAACTTGCCGGAAAACTGTGGCAGAAATTTTGACAGCATGTTTATCGCCCGTTTGAGAAATCGTGTACTTAAAATGAGTATCGACTTGCACTTGCGTCACGACTTAGGACACTTCAAAGTTATTTGTAGCAAAGTGACTATTTCGCTTACCAGATAAGATGCGAGAGTGAACTTCGTTAGGGTATTCTAACTTTTACGTGCGGTCTTAATTTTGCCTGGAATTGAAATCCCCTGCAGATGGGTATGTGAAATACTCAACTTCACGAAAAATCAGAAACGAGTGCGTTTTGCAGCAAGCAACCGCTCTCATCCAAATATGTAAATGAACATTAGTTCATTTGCATACTTGGATTTTTTGACAAACGACCGCTTGAGCAATAATTCCACTTTTTAGTGAACTGGAAATTTGCATTCAAAAAAAATGCATTTTTATGCGTTTTTGCATATACGCAAATTGCAAAAACGTATATGGGGAAGAAGCTGTTTGTGTGTTTTCGCACTTTTTATGCGTTTTTGCTGTGCAGCGCTATAGCAGCGCTATAGCGCTGCTACAGCCAGCAAA